GCGGTGAGAAGATTGGAATGGAGGTGAGGGAGAAGAGCGGGGCGACGGGCAAGTTGTTAATAACCAGACCGGCACATTGCATTGGGTTAATTTCAAAGGTTTCGAGGGTGTTGTTTGACTTCTGAATCGGGTCGGCGACAAAGGGCGCTGCCCGCCTAGACGCTCTTGGATCCGTCAAACCATAATCGACGTGAAAGCGCTCGCCTCCTGCCACCCATGGACCATTTCTTGGTGTCCACCTTGATAGTCACAAGTCTCCTCCATATCCGAGGTTTGATTTAATCTACTTGTCGTTGTTGCCAGCCCTCATTCGTCTATCAAACTCGCGTCAACGAAAACCGTACCTCCTGGTAGTTATCTCATAGTTCCTAAACAAATTTCATTAAAATGCGTATATGATCCTCGTAAACATGAAAAGCTCGGGAGGCCATCATGACGCTGCATGCTCGCACTATCAACCGAACTGCTTGCAGATACGTATCAAATAATTGCTTTGATTCACAGTATTTCTCAATAACAGGGCCACAATGGACAATTAACAAGTATAAATAGGTAAGGACCACACCGATGGGCTTTTGGGGACCTCCGATCATTGTTTCGTGGACTACCTCCTAATATGTCTAGCTGATTTCCAAGGGGGTCCCGCTACTCTTCTGTACCGAAGCTCATATGAGCTGATTTGTCCACTTGGTGATTCTAATACGATAACTCACGACGCGAAAGCCTGACCCCAATCGTGCTAATCAGGGAGGTGGACCATTGTTATGTCAACACAAGGGACAGGGTCGTCGCAAGTGTCCAGCGTAATCCTCCACCTCCATTGAAAGGTGGCCCGGCTCTTTTCCTAGCCCCTAGACTAGCTTGTTCGTATTTCTACATTAGAATGCCGCTCTGCCCAAGCACCTGAAGGGAGCGACATATCGTCTATGAAATCTCAAAGAGCCGAGTAGCGTCAAATCTAGTTAATGATCACGTTCCTGATAAGAAGCTCGATTAGTCGAGAGCTCCACCACATATTCTTCGACTGTCAGGTGGCCTATTCATTTGCTTATGTATCCGTCGATCAGTATACCCTTGGATGCCCGCACAAGCTAGCTGGGCAGACTCATGCCCTTTGCTGGGTTTCCAACTACCTGGTATGGGTAGTTCTCCCGTGGAAACTGAATAGATGCAGTGGATGAAAACAGTGGCCAACATCGTGCTTTTCTTGAGAAATAGCGCAAGAGATAGTGCGCAAAGGGGGTTGACGCCGTCAGGATGCTTCCTCCCCATGTTCGCTGATCACTCATTAGTGCATTTCTTGACCGACTCACGAGATTATTTCCGTGAATCAGTGTGAATAAGATCCAAATTCCCGATCGGCCGCCACAAATTCCAGGACCGAGCTTGCCGTTACGTACCTTTCTGACATTTCTTAAGGTGTTATCAAAGTTTAAAGACGTTAATTATGATTGATGGTGGTCGAATGTCAGCTTTTGTGTGTGTATAGGCGTCTGACAGAGGCACAATATTTATTTATGGAGTCAAGGAGGTTTCTTTGTATTTGAGCGAGAGCAAGTCTTGAGTCCTCATCACCTTATAAATGCTTCTTATCCAAATTTGTATCTCTGAACCTCCTCTACTTCTGCCTACACCGTGGAGCGATCCTCTCAAAAATCTATCATTATTCGAAGACTCGGAAAAGGAAAAATAAGCTATCTTCGCTAGCTGACGATGTCTTCCTCTACGAACACGGGTATAAATCAAGAAGGAGAAATTCAGTCTTGTAGGTCCTGAACGTACCTTTCTACTCTGGAAGCTCCTTACAATTCAATATACATATAGATTATACCTATGACGGTACAACCGCTCATTGTATCTTGTGCAACTCAAAATTTGAGAAAAGAAACCTCAAAAGACACGAACGAACAGGGATACATAAATCTCAGCTCCGGTTCTACAATCTCCCTGAAGCTGAGGGAGTGGACGATCCTGGCCCACAAAACCCACAGGGATCGAGTAACTCACATGCTTAAACTAAAGGGCGGGATGTTAATAACGATAAAGTGCTTGGTTGTGGGTCACGAAGTCTAGAGACAGTTAATCATCCGTAATGTCTGCCCTGAATACCACTCGTCGGACCCGCTTTGACGGGATCTAAATATTCGCATAATACTGTTTTGTTTTCAGTTGTCGCAATTAATTCAAACTCTCGGTTTAGATATAAGTAGAAAAGAGAAGGGAAAGATGGTTATCAGAAAGCTCAATATCAATCCAGTAAATTGAGAACCAAGTACATCTGAATCGATATGATTTTACTGCCCTGGGGTCTAGGGATCCCACCTTCATACACTGAACCTGCCCTCCACTTTACGTTCTGCCGCAGCTGAATGATGCGCGTACCAACACCTTACTCGCATCGAGCGCCTTTGAATTTATGCTAATACCGCGGTATGTTTCGTTCTAACTTGATAGGCAACTAGGCGCGGAACCATACTACCAGCCCTGGCTTCGGGAAACGCCAGTGGCGCTCTGCTTCCCTCATGGCGGTCAGAATCGATACGGATTGACGGTTCCCAGAAGCGACTCAACTTGTGACCGGTTAAAAATAAGCTTTATGACACCAATAGATGTGCGTATCTGTATATAGTCCGGATCAACACTTATACGTGACTACACCGCCCAAGAGTTTGGAGCTGGAGGTCACCTCTGTTTGCCACCCCCACTTCCGCAATCCGTCTTCTAGAATTTGCAACAGGTAAAACGTTTAATAAGCGTTCTTCTGCATTTCGTAAGTGTGTCCGACTATCATTAGACTATCGTATGCACCCCGTAAGCGGGCAGGTGGTTACCTTCCCGGTCACTAACCTGATATCCCGAGAGCTAAATTTGATATTGGGGTCAGAATCAAAATAATAGAGGCCTCCGGATCGGACTCCTCGGACGATGAGAGCTTGCAAGCACAGATGTCAGGATGGTTCGCCAATGCCCGCAGCTTGTTGCATGTGTCCAAAAAACTGGAATTAATCAGATTTTATTGAGAGCAAAGGCTAGAACTTGGGTTATATATCACGTTAGAACCCCCGTTAAACCTCCAACGAGCTGACGCTACAATCGGCGCGCTTCACGATAGACTATTTTGCCTTTGATAAGAATAGAAGCCAATATATAATGTCTTAATTTTACGAATAAAAAGAGCTTACAACAGGCGTATAAAGTTAGACTTGTGCAAGGCCTTGCGAGGGCTCAAGACCACGAGAGTATTTTAGTAGCCTTTCTTTATTCTTTCGATTTATAGTATGACATAGTCG